GGCTTTGTTTGCCTCTGTGTATGGCAACCAGAACCCTCCGCGGCGAGCGCTTCTGCACAAGCCTCCGCCCCTCCCCCTCCCTCCCGCTTTTTAATCCCCTAAACTGATTTGTCAGCAGCAGGAAGTGACAGGACAGCTTTCCTCACAAAAGGGAAACTCCTCCGCGTTACCATGGGGACGGAGCCCTCTGTGTAATTACAGATTTATATCATCTTAAAGGTGTACGCACCACGCGGGGATCCTCCTCGGGCGGGGACGCGAGGGAGGGAACTGGACGCCCGAGGCTGCAAGTTCAAGGCAAATTAGCCGCGATTTGCAAAATTCCAAGGAAAGGAGAGGATGCTGTGGAGGCGTTTGGGATTGGAAGTATCCTAATGAGATAATGGGTGCCTGGAAACCACAGAAAAGCATTTTGCATTGATGCATTTTCCGCGTCCTAGAATTTGAAGGCTGGGAGGAGCCTTACCCATTAGATCTAGTGCATACTGGTCATTTTATGGGGAGGAAAACTGAGACCCGGGATCGCAGGTCACTAGGAGAGGGGGAAGGGCTCTAGGGGTTTCTCCAAGGCCCACTCCCTGCCAGGTACTTACCTTCATGAAGCCTGCTCCTCCTCACAAGGGAAGAAGGTTTTAATATCTTCATCTTACAGATGAGAAAACCGAGGCCCAAACGAATAAATAGATTTTCCACCCCAATTTTATGAGTTAAGACCATGGTCCCATCAGGTTGGCTACAAAGCTCATCTCTTCCCCACGCCCTCAAGCTGTCTTCTGGACTGAACTTGGGTCCCCACTCTTGTTACAGACCCAGGTTCCAAGCTTGCAATGTCCTGTACTTGCTGTGTGACCTTGAACTAGAATTAAAGGGCTGTCCTTCACCTCTCTGGGCTTCAGCTTCCTCCTCTGTACAGTGGGTGTTGCTGTTAAAGGTTTAATGGGAAGGTGTGCAAAGCAGTTAGCACAGCGGCTGGCATGCAGCACTAGCTCTAAAATTGGCAGCTGTTATCGCCACATTATCAGTATTAAATGACTGAGTTGTCTCCATTTCAATCTTCCATTGAGAATCAAACATTTTAATAATTTAAGCATCTTTCTTTTCATTGAGGTACTTTTTTCCCCCCTAAGAAAAGCAGTTTCAGGCCAAAAGTGTCATTTTCTGGAGGGCCTGAAGACTGGGAAGCAGATACATGGGGAAGGGGGTTGTCCCACTGGCTCTCCTGGGGTGGTGGGAGGTAGAGTGGCTTGTGCTGGAGAACCAAGTGAATTGTTTTCACTGGAGGCTCCCTTAGGCAGCCACTGTATTTTTCCACTGCATGGAGCACAGTGGAGATTAATTTTGGTTCAGCCAGTGCCTGCCAAGCAGAAAGTGATGGCTCGAGCCCACGGGAAAGTAAGCCATGGCATCTGCCACAGACTTGAAGCCCTGGTACATTTCCACGAAGGGAGATATTGGCAATAGTAAATTTCTAGAGTTTGATAAAAACACTGGGTAAGGTTTGTTTTGAGAGACATGAACACACTTGAAATCGGAAGCCCAGCAGAGGAAATGAGCTTGCCAGCCCAGGGTTAGTTCTTAGAATTTAGAACACAGGGATCTTTCAGGCCCTGGGAATCAGGTGGCAGATGGTGAACTGACGGGGAAAGGTCAAGGACATTGATTCTAGTCAAGGCAGGGCCGGAACAGGACCACTACTCAGGGTGCTACTGGAGAAGTCGAGTAGGATGTTTTCTTTCCTTCTTCCTACCACACTTTGTCCAGAAATAAGTAGTGGGGGCAGAGCTAAGGGGTCAGTAATCCAGGAAGTTCACTGCTATTTAATTCAGCATTATAGACTGGATCATGGGCTAGTGGTCGATTACACCTTCGGTTTTTACCTGTTTGGCAAGAGAGAGTAAAACTCCAGAATGTTGCCCCAGAGCTAGTCAGATTTAATAGCCTGCCTAGCTTCTTCAACAAAATTATGAAATCAGAGCAGCAAGTGACCCGGAGGCAGCCACCCAAAATGCTGTGTACCTAGGCACAGGTTCCAGTGTGGATGTGCTCCAATCGTTCCTAACGGTTGGGGGTAGGGATTTCAGGTAATTTATTTATGTTGTATTTGCTTATAGTGCTTGGGATTTTAACCATCTGAGGTATTATTTTCACAATAAAGATCTTTTGAATGGCAAAAAGAGAACATGTGAGAGAGGTAAATACAAAGCACATGGAATTAGAAAACGAAGCAGATGTAGGCCCAATTCCCCCACTCTCACCACTTAGCTAGGCTGGCTCTCAGCATCTCTGCGATTTGACTGAGTGGTTCTGGGGTCAGGGAGCACACCCTGCCTTGTGTGTATTAGGAACACATGTGGAGTGTTTTGGAAAACTATCACCCTCATAACTAGCACAGCTCCCAAAGAGAAGGCTTTTTCTATTATCCTGGGGAATGTAGTAAATGAGAAAAGCAACCCAAGCAAATGTCCATCTCTAACATTGGCTCTGGGGGCACAGGCCCCCTGGGTGACATGGTAGGGGGTACACGGAGGGACTTAGATCCAAGGTTAACAGCGGAGCTACAGCACCTGGTTTTTCATGATAGGTCACACTTCTCTACCTTACAACCCAGACATCTCGTGGGACCAAGAAGCCACCAAGGTGTGTGGCATTGGATCCCAACATACATTCTGGAGGCCCTTGCTGATTCTCCCCCCTTTCACCACGAGTGGGACAGGGATCAGGGGGCTGCCTGAGAAATAAAGCATTGAGAGTTCAATAGAAATGCCATAATTTATTCCGTTGTATAAAAAAGTCATCCTTATGTAACAAAATGTCTTCTTAGAAGAAGAAATATATTATTTCAGGTCATAAATAATCAGCAAACATACAACTGTTGGCAACTTAAAAAAACAACACTGGTGCTTCCCATCAGTGCTGAGAACAAACCTGCTTAGGCTGTATGTACAGGGTGTTACAGTACTCAAACACAAAAATTGAGGTATTTGGTTCTAGGAGTCGACACTGACCTTTGTGAAGGCAGACCACCTACACAAAAATAAATAAGGTATATTCTCATATGTATATGTGTCGTCAGGAATGGTAATACTGGTATGTATGTCAAGCATGAAGTTTCTACAAAAAAACGGGGGCAAGCGAAAAGAAATTGGCTCACACACTGAGTCCTTTCTCTTCTGCCCCATTTGTCAGGGGGCCTTGAGGTACCCCACTATACATTGGTCCCGAACTTGCCGAGTTCAGCAAATGCCTCGATGCTCAGTCATCACTGTGACTTCTTAGGAACCCAGTGGAACTCAGGCGAAATTAATAAATAAATAGGGACCAGCCCTCACAAGCTCCCTCCTTGGAGTTATTGCCTTTTTCCTCTCAAGAAGGAGCCTGGAGTCCTGGTGGGTTGTGAAGATCACCTCCCGTGGCCTTTCAGCAGCTGGGAGAGGTCGTAATGGGGCTCTGCAGGTAGCTCAATGCACTGTTCGTGGAGTGGACCGGGATGGACACAGGGAAGTTGAAGACGGTGGTGGTGGAGGTGCCCCGGTCTAGCACAGACATGGCAGGACTCCCCGCCTCTGCTGAGCAGTGCGGGGCCAGGACCTGGGACTCGAACTGCAACAGCTGGCCCATGAAGCTGAAGTTGGGGGAGATGATGCTTCTCCTCTGTTTCACAAACTCAAAGGCCTCGTCCAGCTTGACTCGGTTAGTCCTCATGAGGTACGCGAGGCAGATGGTGGCCGAGCGGGAAATGCCCGCCTGGCAGTGGACAAACACCCTTCCTCCAGCATTCTTGATGGAGTCTGGAAAACAAAGGGTGGCTGGTTACTAGGGAGAACGGCCCCAGGCACAGGGTGTCTAAGAAGTGTCAAGTGTGTGGGGTGCAGAGATGCTCAACATCAACAGTGCCATCACAAAGACACTGTTCATGGTGGCAATGTGGCCACTGTGCAAAGAACAGGATTTAAACCCAGACTGGCTATCCACTAAGCAAACAGATGTTGGGCAGATCAACTTTCTGAGCCTCAGTTTGCTAATTTGTAAAGTGGGACAGCAAATCAACAGTTTGCAGAGATGTTACCCACACCAGACTGATATTTAATGTCTGGAGGAAGGCTGAGAAAAGTCATTCAAGTCCTTGCCATAGTGTGTGGGCTCAGTGGCTAAGATGTGGGAAGTGAGGCAGAAGTCCCAGGGCACTCCATTTACCTATGAAGTCGATTGCCTCGTTGAACCAGGAGCTGATGTCTGCCTTGTGGTTGTCCTCCACAGGGATGCTCTTGTACTGGTAGTGACCCTCAAAATGATTGGGACAATTGGCTGACACGTTGATCAAGGCAGTGATGCCCAAGGCATCCAGCATGTCCTTGCGGGAGGCATGATAGGCACTGCCCAGGTACAGAAAGGGCAGGATCTCCACTGGGCCACCCTGAAATCCAAAAATATCCAACACTTGTCAAGCTCCGCTCAAAGTCAATGCCACTGCCCACACCCACAGAAACTCCCTGTTGGCAGTCTGTTTCAGATACTGGGTGAACTTTCTCAGCACTGTTGTTGGAGTATAAATAAATAGGAGACTAAACCCATTTGCCTGGGCAAGGCCAATGGTCACTTCTGCGGTGCCAGCAGTTTAAGAGAGTCAGCTCATCCGACCACTCAACCACGGGATAAATAATATCCCTGTGTCACCTCCGTCATAAATAACGCTGGTCATTTTCTATATTCTCACTAACACTGCTTTCCCTGGCCTCTGTCAACTGTTCCTTCTCCCCTCTGGCTCGGGCCCCTACTAACCTGATCGTAGAGTGGGGTGCTGCAGGAACTGCACCCTGATTCGGCGCTGTCGGGGACGTTAGTGCTCAGGGGAAGGCTGAGCCCCATGGGGGTCGACTGTTTGCTGCACAGCTCCGGGCAGGAAGCTGCAAAGGCTTCATATCCTCCTGGGAATACAAAGAGACATTTTTTCCATTAGCGCTGCTGGGACAGGGCACCTTCATGCAGGGTAACTCCCCACCCACCAGGGCTGGGAGTCTACCCGGGAATCTTTGTTCTGGCGCCAAACAAAGCCAATGACAAGCCCCCGGAATACGACTCGGGCGGCCCCGCGCTCCCGGAGGGGCAGGAGCTGAGCG